GTCTTGCATTCTAATGGGTTCATTTACTTTTTTGGGCAAATAAACTTATATAAATTATAAATTACAATGTCTCATAAGACACTTTATGTGTCTATAAACCCTGCTCGTCCACCCTGCATCCCCTCCCCATAGATCCGTCTCCTCTCCCACCCTCCCAATCTGCAAAATTTTAAAACAGGTTTGTCGTCTGTTGCTAGGCCGCTAGGGCCGTCGCCAAGCACTTTAGGCAGGGTGTGTTTATGACATGTGCTGACAAATGAGGAGAGGTAAAAAAATTTACATAAGCAAAGCTTAAAATTTTTTCCCGACTATAAACATAAGCAAAGCTTAAAAATTTTTACAAACATATGCAAACCTTTTAAATTTCTAAAATTGAAACAATAGCAGTCAAACAGTTTTGTGAACAAAAAATTCATTTGCTGACCAGTTTTCCAGGGGGTGTCCTGTCTGATGCACTTGTTATATACGTTATTGTTTGATATTGTACAATACGAAAGAGATCATATCTAGTACTGTGTACAGTTTTTTACCTGATACAGTTAGCCCAAACGATGACATTCGCCTCTCCACAGTGTGGACACTTACTCCTAGAATACTTCCTATGTCTCTCACATTAAATCCTTGTTCTAAAAGGTAAGACAGTTGTTCTTCTCCGATTTCAAATGATGGTCTTCCTCGTTGCCCAGTCGTGTCTATAGACGCTCTGTAACCTGAAATCGTTTCGTTGTTATCGATCTCAACCAACGTTCTGTAGGCTAACTAGGGCCATTCCATTTAAAATCCACACCCCCCCTACGGATGAGGTCAGTAAAATTTTAACCCCTAAGAAAAAAAGATCAAAGTGCCGACACAAAACACCCCTCAGAAATTTGTGAATTTTCCCCTTACCCCTCAGAAAAATCGCAGAGATCAAAGGATGCCAACAGGCTTAACCCCTCAGAAACGACTTTTTGAGTCACCCTTCAGAAAAATTCATCCGTAGGGGGGTGTGGACATTAAATGGAATGGCCCCTATATCATTTCTATTACAAAATCATCTATTGCAAGATTAACTACAAGCCTTTGTAAGTAATCCAGTCTTGAGATAACTGGCTGGAGGTCTGTCGAGGAACTATCTAAATCTACATAGCGGTTTAAGGTAGTTAATACATCATTTATGGCGGTGACCAAATAATCTCGATCCGCCATTTTGAAAGCGCGCGAATCCTTTTTTTGTGGCGCGAACCATCGTTTGAGCCCACGATCACTCATGCCTCATGGATTGCGGTTGGATGCACAATTGAAAAACTTGAATAAAATGCAAACATGAACGTAAAATACGAACAGTCGAATAAAATGAGAACTTATGAATGTAGAATACAAACTTGAATGTCGAATGCAAAAAGTTCAATGAATAAAATGCAAACTTGAATGTAAAATGCGAACAGTCGAATAAAATGAAAACGTATGAATGTAGAATACAAACTTGAACAAAATACAAACTTGAATGTAGAATACAAACTTGAATGGAGAATACAAAAAGTCCAATGAAATGAAAAATGTTCAACATAAAATAACCAAGTTGAATTTTGGCGGATATTTGACGCCATAAATAAGAAGTTATGAATATTCTGATCTTTAAAAAATAATTATAACACATGAGTGAGTACAATACCATTTCTAACTTTCTATTTAACAACACTATACCTGTCCTATTGCCCGTGCGTCAAGCTCGCTAAAATCTGTTGCAAAAAACTATTTTATATTGTTACTTTACGTAATGTAAGAATCAGGTGCCATATTCCAGTACGAATAGCCACTTCGTAAATAAAATGCTTTTCAAGGTAAGATGAAAGTTTGATCACAAATAACAATGTGTATTGGTCGATACGCGTTGAAACGTCAAGCGAATGAATTAACTGTATTTAAATTATTACATTTTTAGGTGCATACAAGTCTTCATAGTAAACAACTGGACTTCGTCGATATTTTATATCAGTTTGTAAAAAATCTGATTGAGCTTGATCGTAGGCTTGATGGAACATCGTACTTCTAAGGGATAAATAATCACAGAGAGAGTTTATTATTGTTATTGTTATTTTGGCAATATCAATTGAGGCATTGAGCAGTATCGTAAAATTGTCTGTCTTCCACAAAGATAGTCCTTTTGCAACCCATGCAGTGTGGATTGTTGTCTGCACATATTAACTTACCAGCAGTTACATGCAAATAACATGTCAACCGACGTTTGTAAAAGGTATGACGGTCTGTAAAAATGTATCTCTGAGATATGTCCATTGTTTAATAGCATAATATGAAATAATCCTACCAGCCTACATTTATATATTCACCTGGCTGTCACTACAGTACTCAGAGACAGACTATACTATATTTTTTGATAATGCTCACAATCGTATTATATAGTTTTGCAGTTCTGACTGAGTACAATCTTAGGGGCTGATTACATGGAGAGTTTTCAGCCCGGGCTTAGTTTCAGCCGGGTTATTAAGGAGCCGATTACATGGAGCATTTTCAACCCCTGGGCTGAACTCAGCCCTGCATGTTTACCGGGTTGAAATTTTAGCCCTGTCTGTAATACAAAACTCTATCAAAATCAAACGCGCGATTACATGACAAAATGTTCAACCCAGGGCTGAGTTCAACCCCGGGGTTGAACTCAGCCCTGGGTTGAAAATTTTGTCATGTAATCGTTTCAACCCAGGGCTGAAATTATCATGAGTTATTCGAGCATATGTGGTAGTGACTATTTATTACAAGAAAACAAAATAAAGGCTTTTTTACTTCCGAGAATCGATGCCGAGAACGTATAGTATAGCGTTTCAACCCCGGGGTTGAAATCGCCCATATAATCGCAAAAAATTTTAACCCGGTTAACAGGGCTGAGTTCAACCCCGGGGTTGAAAGTTGTCCATGTAATCGGCCCCTAAAATGAGCTGAAATTGCATCACGATTACATGAGCAGTTTGAGCCTGGACTGAGTTTAGTCAGAGCTATGTTTATAGTCAACCCGGGCTGAAATGTCAGACCGGGCTGAGTGAAATAATCTGAGTGTCACGAAATAGGACAATACTGTAAGCCTGTTATGCTTCTTTGAAGCAATCAGATGCTGATTAGTTGACTATTTGACTTGTGTGAGACTGTGGTTATATGTAAGTATTTAAAGATGAAACAAACACGCAGTGTGAGACTGTGGTTATATGTAAAGCATTTAAAGATGAAACAAACATGCAAAATAAAGCCATTTAAACGGTTGTTTTTTCAGCCCGGGCTGAAATTTCAGCCTGGGCAGCCAGGCCGAAATTTCAGTCCGGGCTGAAACTCCAAACCACACACAAACCAGGCCGAAATTTCAGTCCGGGCTGAAACTCTCTCCATAAAGCATCAGCAGATTGTTCAGTTGTTTTGCAATAGGGGTAGCCTTGAAGGTGTCAATTATTGCATTAAAACGATAATTGGAACAAAAACTTCTATATATATGAAATTATTAAATTCTACATGTCAAATGATTCATTCAAGTATTATCGTTTATATATAGAATGATTTTCTACAGTATTCAGTGGCAAGCTACAATCCTGGACAAAACATCTGCGACACTTCCAATTATACTTGACAAAATATCGTAATGTTATCGTAAATTTAGAAAACCTCCCCCTTTCCCCCACCATTCAATGTTGATTGGATTCGTAGAATACGGATAAAACGTCCAACATTGTTTTGGGGGGCGGAGGGGGGCAAACGAGTAAATTATTCCGGTCTAACTGGTAAAAAAAAGCCACAAAGGAATGTTTTAATAGAGTGTCGCAGATGGTTTTGTCCAGGATTGTAGCTGTGTTCTTGATCCAACTGCATGATCATCATGCAAATTAAGAAACAACATCAACAAGAAGAGACTCGTCTTGTACTTCAAGTCATCAAATTCTTTTCACAAAATTTTGAACAAGGTCTCAGATCTGAGATGTGAAGAGACTATTAAGTAATAATGGTACAGGACCCGAAGAAGATCAAACCATTTGAGAAAAAGCCAAGCTACGCCAACAAGTGGACTTTAAAATTGACATGAAGTCTTTCCATGGCTTGAAAAGCATAGCATAAGAAGCCGCAAATTGCAATGGGAAAGAACAATTTGTAGACATTCAAATTTGAGTAAACATTATATACAGTATGAGAATATATTTGTTACCTAATGGTGCATGGTATTTAATACAGTACCTTGTTTTTTTAACCAGAGCTCTGTATGTGGATTTATATATACATTTCCATGGCATGATGGCGGATCATGAGTTCAAATTCTTCGATATTAACTAGTAATTGAATGACTTTCCACTTCAAAATATCACTTATGACATCAAAATTTAATAAATCGTACGACAGGTGCAATAAAAATCCTTTTAAACTGCTGACTTTGATAAAAACTTGCAGTTTGTAAAATATTTTTTATTATGAGTCTTCCCCCCCGTTATGCCAATGCTAAAAAAGGCCAGGTCGACAAATACTCCAAGATTTTTGGATCATTTGGTAACCTGGCAATCAGAGTTTGCCAGGGTCCCTCCACGTGCACCAGAACCTTTAAACACGGGGACCCTGGGTACGAGGTTGCCAGGGACGCCGGAACGATAATAAGGCAAAGGGGGGCGGACGCACACCAAGGGCACCTCTATAGAGCAAAACTTCAAAATCTACCGGAAAATTTTATCCAATGATAATTTTTGGGCGACCTGCCCCCCCTCCCCGTCGCCAAAAAAATTTCGGTCAGTGTACCATTTTAGGGGTCAAAAATGTTTTCCGGACATACCAATAGTCAAATATAAACTATAAATTGCCTGAATCTCATGATTTTCCTACAAAAAGCATCTTTGGAAATGTGATTTATCACGTTGTATTTTACAACTCAAAGGCCACTTCTGCCCCCC